AAATTAAATGACAAAGAACTGTAAATTGTTAGAAAATATCAATTAAAGGTACTTATGATTGACTTTCTTCCTTATCCCTCTTTTGTAATGACTATGTCAATTAAGAACGTCAATTAACCTAACAATGTTGATGTCACCTACTCAAATCATCCATGTTGATTCCTCACACATGAAATTCATAAGAAAACCTAATAAATGTTGATTCCTCACACAATTAACAGATTTTCCAGCATTAGGGTTAGGGTGCTAAGCAATTGATACATTCATTCCATTCCTGGCAATTAACGTAACAAATATTCTTACCGTGATCTAGGGTTCAAGATATATTTTCCAATCATACCTCAAATAATCAAGAATAAATCATTCCAAAGTATAAAGGATAAGAATAACAACATCAAAGCATAGATTAATATCTCAAAATATCACCATGATACAAAAGAGTTCAAAGGAAGTGCACCGAATCCTAAGAGAATGAAGTTAGCCACTCATGTTGGCCATTACAATGCTCTAATTGATGAAGAAGTGAAGAATTGATGAAGATTAGACGAAACCCTAACAATAGTTGTGTCTCCTCTTCTCCAAGACTGCTTTCTTTTCTCAAAACACAACTTATCTTTTTATAAGAGAATTTGGGTCGGGTCTCGCATCATTCATTCGCTTAAGCGCTCTTCTTTCTTTTAATTTTACTCCAATTATGCTGACAATTATACTCCTTACTCTTGTATCAAGGTATTCTCGAATTCATCCTATATTGGGAGAAAAATATATTAGAATTAACATAAGTTAAGTGGTTTCATCATAATTCAAGGCATAATTATATCAATTTTTTACCACTTAACACGATCAAACATAAACATTATCCCATACTCATAAACATGTAGACTGAATGCGAAAGCATACCTAAATTAGTCATAATGATGATGTCCCTTTTAAAGCACTATTGATCTTATGGTCTTCCACCTGAAGAACACATTTATTTTCCCTCTGGATTTTCTCTCTTGATGGGGAATAGAAAGAAAGGAGCGAGAACTGAAACTTACGTTCTGTGTGTGCTCTCAGAAGGGGACCATGACCCTTTAAATAACCAGAATTAGGTTAATTACTTAAGTTTTAGTATTTCTAATTTGGCCCCTCATCAAATTAGAAATTACTCTATGGTCTCTATACAATTTTATTTTCATGACATATGTCTTTAGCCAAAATTTTAATTTAGTCAGATCACTTTATTATTTGGCTTAATAAATAATGACCATAACACATTTAAATTATGTATCATATATATATATATATATATATATATATATATATACATGACTCAAAATTTGCCAACAAGTGTTACCTTCCTTAAATTTTGTGAATAGGTTAATGTCTCATTTAGTGTCTGTCCTTTCTCCCAAAAGTCTCACTATCTGGTTGGCAAAAGATTGAATGTGTCTTCAGATAATTCAGACATTTGAAAGTCTTCAAATAAAGTATATCTATCAAGATTCCCTAGTCTACTAGAGTTTTCATCATGGTGAAGTTTGTGACCTCCATGGTGATCACCATGAGATCATCTTGGTGCAAATCTATGACTTGAAAGTTGTCATTCATGAAGATTATTAGTGACACTTTCCTTCTTTGTTCGACAATGGTGGTGTTGACGGATTGAACTATTTAGAGATGTTTTTTTCTTGCTGAAATAGTCGTGTCTCCACTAGTAAACCCTCAAACAATGGTGTTAATCACTCCTCTAAGTGGTTAGTCCTTTCATCCATGATTGTATATGTTTCTTGGGCAGTAGTATTGTTAGTCCTCAAGTCTCACAACGTTTGTCTCTTGGCGAGTAAATTTTCTCTTGATTGTCATGCCCCTTGATAAACTTGCATAAATGTCTTGTCTTTATCAGTTCTTCTATCTTGCCTTTTAGCATGACACATTCATTTATGGCATGTCCATAATTTCTATGGTATCAACAATATTTGTTATGATCAATATTGGGAGGGGTGGTCACCTTTCTCAATGTTGGAATGAGGTCGGTGTTAAGAACCTCTTTTAACACTTTGGTTCGGGTGGCGCTTAGAGACATGTATTGTAAGAACCTTGGACCATGGGGCTCCCTTGGCCTTACCTATAGGGGCCAATTTTTTTTCTTGTTAAAAAAATTCTTTTTTTTGGGAATTGTTAACTCTTACTTGATTTTGGAATTCTTTCAACTTTTTAAATGCATGAACTTGGCAGCTCGACTTCTAAATTCAACTAGGTTTATCATTGTTTTCTTGCAAAGACTATCTAAGAATGGTCCTACTCTTGGAGGTTTAAATTTCTAATATTTAATGTTATTTTGCCAAATCACTCAATGAAAGCTCACAACAATTCTCCCTTTTCCTACTAGATGTTGACCAATGTTATTCATGTGATGTGACAAGGGCCAACTTGTGGCAAATTGTGTGTCAAATTTTACCACCAATGTTTAAAAAAAATCAATAATTCTTATGGGTAGCAGGGTGAACCAGCTTAAGGTCGACCCTTTAAGTGAAGTGAGGAAGTCTTGGCATAGTAAAGTCCAACTTTTGTTATGTATATGTCATCTTGTTCATTGATTTGTTATGCCTTTCAAGAGTGAGATTCTTTCATGTTGATGGAAGAGGGGTCTCCATGACCTCATCATCAACAAATGAGTGTCGACGTCCTCCGACTTATGAAGATAGGTACATGGATGTATAGGTGATCGCCCAAGGGTTATTGTCGACCTCAAATGTACTAACCTAAATGTTTTGGGATTGGTCCAGGCTATCCTCGACTCCAACAATTTTTGGTGTTTAGTGAGAAATTCTTTCTTTTTTTATTGACTTTTGGAAGATGTGAGTGTTCTCACATTTGAGGGCATCCAATTTCTCAAAACTTCACTTCTTAAAATTATCTAATTCTTTCCTTAACTCAATTATAAACATTAGTTCACTTGCGTGATTTTCTTCTTGGGGTGTTAGAAACATCTAATTGTTGGTCATGTTCCTTATCATTACCATAGTCTTCTAAGAGTGTCTGAGAGTCATCCAGTGGGTATCAAATGTTCTTATATGGCTTAGAACTTTTTATAATACTGTTCATAGTAGGTTATCTTTGAATACTTTTAGGTGATTCTGTTGGCAAATAGTCACTAATTGTCTTTGATTCCTTAATCAGGATGTTGAGGGTATGCCTGCAAACAAATACTCTAACACTAAAGTCAATGACACTAATGTGAGAGATATTTGTAATAAATGAATAGTGGTATCGTATTAAGGATTCTCATCTATTTAATACTTGTAATGAGTTTTCTCTTTATGGGTCTTGACCTCATTTTAACCAATCTTCATTAGTCATATATCTATAGTGTGATACTTTGGCCATATAAGTATAGTGTACGTGACATAACCATATACCTAAAATGTAGGTGGCATGACCATATACTTATAATACACTATTAAAAAAAATAAGAAATTTTTATTTTTAATTTTCACATGAGTAATTGTTACATACAATGAATTTTTTGGTTTGTTTTTCTAAATTTTACAACTCTAATTTGGTTAATAAAGAGTAGGATAAGATTGATGAATTTCCAAAAATATTATAACCAACTTTTAAGTTTAGAACTACTAAAAAAATACATTTTATATCACAAAATATAAATAAAAAAATATTGATTACCTTTTTATTTTAATAACCAAACATTAATAATCATGAATTTAATAATCAAAATAACATGCTAAAATCATTTTTAAAATCATAGGAATAAAAGATATTAAAATAAGTTTGTATAAGAATAAAATAAATATTTTTTTAATAACTAATAAAATCAATAACGAAATGAATTATTTATCTTATTTGTATTTAAAAATAGAATATGACAAAGATTTCATTAATATATAGGAAATTCAAATTATTACATTTGAATTATTTTGAATTAAATTGTCTTTTTTAATATTTTATTTAGATAAAATAATTCAATTTTCTTATTTAAATAAAGTAATTTAATTTATTTTAAAATAAAAATTTATTTTAAAAATATATATTAACTTAAACTTGTCATCAAATATGTACTAAGCAAAAGAGGTAAATTGGTTAAATTCAACAAACTATCACATGTTATAAAACATTTGAGGATCTAAGGGAGTTAAAACTAGAAGTGGTTTAGTAAGGGGTAAAATTTGAAATTTTACTTGATAAGTTAAAAAGAGTTATAAATAGAAGATCTTACTAATTCAAACTTCATTCTTACAAAATAAACATCTCTCTACAACTCTCTTTCTCTGCCTTCTCTTTAAATTTTTCGCTTCCTCTCTTATCTTTTTATAGATCTCAACACGCATTAATGCTCCTAGAGCAGATGAGATAATTTCTACCCAATCAAAATTTCAAATAAAGTAAGTTTTTCTTTACCCATTTTAGAGCATTTACATGTAAATTTGTGGAACTTGCATGTGGGGGCTAGGGTGCATGCATGTGGGTTTTGTCAGACAAATATGAATCTTGACTAGTGTAGGAATATTATTGTATACTTAATTTGTTAATTGGAGTTTCTATGAACAAGATCTAACTTCTTAAGAGATTGGGTTTTTTGGAATCAAAGGTTGAGAAATTGAAGTAAGGAAAACTAGTAGTGAATTTCTTAACATTTAGAATAGATTATCTGGATTATGATAGTGACATGATCACATTGTCTGATTAGTAGATAGTTTATTGTGAATTGATATTATTGACAGTTGTATATGATTGAATTAGTTAAATTACATTTATCCCGTGGGAAAGATATGTATGGAATGTTAGGGTAGGATATTAATATTTGGACCAAATATTATTCTAAAAGGAAATTGTGTAATAAAGTCTTAAATGATGGTAGTTAATGCCTAGAAACTAGTTTAAGGGGTGTTTTTTACAATTTGTTATTTACATATTTCGTTTAACAACTAGTTACTTAAGCGAAATATGCAAAAGAGGAAATGAAGTCTCGGGAGTATTTTTGCTTAAGCAAAAATATCTCACTCAAGCAAAAAAAATCCCAATGATTTTAGGTTTGTCTCAATTGCATCTTCGCTTAAGTTAAGGAATTTTCGCTTAAGCAAAATTTTCCTGAAGTTTTTTGATAAACACTGCATGAAATTTGACAATTAGTTAGGAAAATTTGTTATATAATTTATTTTTCACTAATTTGTAGCTAATTAACAATGAAATATTGAAAGAACAAAGTTATAGTTAATTTCTAGCAAAATAGTTAGAAGACTAATATTTCCTTAGTTATTTCCTCACTTAGCAAAAAAATAATTTAACGAGAAATTTTTTTGTCATTAATCCTTCACTATGAAATATAGAGAAATTAAAATAAAAAATTAATTTTAGCTATACTACTTTTCTGAAACTATTTCCTAGCTAAATTGTATAACATACTATCAACGCATATCATAGTAAATTCATCGCAAATATCAAATTAAAAAGAGTATGAAATTGCTAGGAAATATTCTCTCATAGCTTTATCACAAATTTGTTATAGATTTCTTCACATATTTGTTACAAATACAAGTTAACTTTTTACTTTTATTTTTTGTATTTTTTTTTTGCAAAAAATTATTTACAAAAAAATACTTGTAAAATTTTTCAAAAAATAATTATGATTAAAAAAAACAAGAAACAATTATAAATTTTTCTAAAAGAAATTATTTGATTTTTTTACCAAATTCACTTTAAATACATATTATATATATATATATATATATATATATATATATATATATATATATATATCCGAAATAAATTATTTGGAAATAGTTATAATTTTTTTGAAAAAATATCCACAAGAAAATTGGTACATATGTAATTATTTTTTTGTAAAATTTTTTATAAATTGAATTTTATAGAAAGTATTTAATAATATTTAAGTGGTAAAATTTTTTATAGATAATATTTTTTTATACATTTTTCTTACAAATTATTCTTTACAATAAATAAAATAAAATAAATTATCATATTTAAATATTTATTTAATTAAATATTATTTTTAATGTAAACATATTTAATTTAATAATAAAGATACTTTTTTTAAAATTATAGAAATTTTATAATTTTTTTAATAAAAAACATAAATTTATTCTTCTCCTTTCTTCAATTCAAAATACTTCTCATGTCTCCAAGTTAAAAACCTAAAAGTTGTCACTGTTACGCTTGCTTTGCTCGTTGTTTTACCGCTGCTATTGTCACTATCGCTGTAGTTGTCCCTACTCGTTGTTGGTATTGTTGCTGCTGCCACACCTTCGTTGGTCGCTATCGCTATTGTTGTTGTCGTTACCGCACCTGCGTTGGTCGCCACTGCAATACTCCTCCCTAGTGAGTTTTTTGTTGTAATTTTATTTTTACATTAGGACTCTTCTGAAGATTTGTGTCTGATTAGGAACCTTGCAATGAGAAATGTCGGAAGGAGATTGAAGGAAGCTCCAATTGTTAGAGTCTCCAAGTTCTGAAGTTTTGTTTTCATGTTTATGGTTTGGAGTGTGTGTGAGTGTTTTTGTGCTAGGGCAATGAGAGAGTCGAGAATGGTTGGATAGTAGAATTAATGGAGCATAGTAGGTAAGGTTGTATGTGCTACTGTCATTCAATTCTTCATGCAAGATTAGATTCTCGCCGATATGAATTCTAATATCATTTCTTTGATTCCTAAAATTGTTGGAGCTAATTGCATCAAAGATTACATACACATTGCATTAGTGAATTTTAGATTCAAGATTATTGTAAAAATACTGGCTGATAGATTATCTCAAGTCACTCATAGAATTCTATCCTCTTAACAAAACAATTTTATTAATGGTAGGCAACTGTATCTGAGGCTATAAATATGCTGGACAAAAAATACTAGGGGTGGTAATTTTGCTATCAAAATAGAAATTAGCAAGGCCTTCCACACACTTGATTGGAACTTCTTAATCAATGTTCTCAATAACTTTGGATTCCATAGCAGATTCCAAACTCTCCATTAGAATTAATGGAGGCCTTGTAGGCTATTTTAATTGTAAATGTGGGGTTAAACACGGTGATTCCTTTTCACCTTTGCTTTTTTGCATGGCAGAAGAAGTATTAAGTAGAGGGATTGAAATGGCTACTAAAAATAAGCAGATATTGCCCATGGCTAGTCCAAAGAGTATGGATTTTCCCTTTCATATATTACATGTTGATGACATATTTGTTTTTTTAGAGCCAATTAGAAAAGCCTTTTGAATCTTATGACCCTACAAACATTATATGACTAATCATCCGGTTAATAGTGGAAGACAGTAAGAGCCAATTCTATTCCTGTCCCAATTCTACTAACAGATTTAATTCTTCCTTTAAAAATATACTTGGATTTGGCAGGGGTGAGTTTCCCTTCACCTATCTTAGCGTGCCAATCTTTAATGGAGCTCCTAAAATTAGATATTTAAAAACGATTGTTGATAAAATCAAAATGCAACTTACATCTTGCAAAGGTAAAGATCTAAGTATGATGGGAAGAATTGAATTATTTAACTTGATGATTGCTGGAACCCTTCATTTTGTTTTTAGATTTACAAATGACTTGTTGAATTGCTTAATGACATCGAAAACTAGATTAGGAACTTCATTTGGTAAGGGAACATTAATCAAAGAAAGCTTGTTATTGTTAATTGGAAAAATCTTTCTAGTCCTAAGGTGGATGGGGTTGGGAGTTATATCTATTAAAGTTGAAAACCAAGCAACATTACTAAAATTCGCTTGGGAATTTGATTACAATACTTTGCGTTGGGCCAATTTGATGGGAGCTAGATTTGCAATACGAAATGTTGCGATGACAAATTTTAAATTGTCTTCTATATGGATCGATATTACTACAATGTATTATGTGGCTCTTGACAATTCTAGATGGATTATTTGGTAATGGTCATGATGTACGTTTTTGGACTAATAAATGGTTAATGGATATTACCATAACTTATCACATTAGGATTCCTTATTATATAAAGATTGATCTTAAATCTACGATCAAGGATGGTTGGAATGGTAGACATTGGTATGTGCCAAACTCAATTATGCAGAAAATTCCTGAGATGCATAAATGGCTTAGTCATATAATCATCACTAATATAAAGGATGAGGTTATTTGGACTGCATCTTCTGATGACAATCTCAAGCTTAAAGAAGCCCATAACTTTATCAGTAAACATCAAATATTTAAGGAGTGAGGCAAGAAAATATGGAGCCAAAATATTCCATTTGCCAAAACTTTAATTTTGTGGAAAATTCTCAATAAATATCTCTCAATCGATGATCAAGTTCAAAGAAGAGGAATGCAGATGGCTTCCAGATACTACCTTTGTGTCGTTGAATCTTTGAATCATTTATTTGTACATTGTAGCATAACTAAACCATTTTGCACCTGGATTCAAACAAATTTTAAACACTGATTAGATTTGTCCTCTTTAGAAAATCTGTTGAATTTCATGCAGGGTAATTACAACTCTCAAATGAAGGAAGTTAGACTAGCTACACTCACGAATGTCAATTATCTAGAAGATGAGGAATGCCAGTTATTTTGGAGTATTGATCCTAGATATTTAAAGTTAGAAACATATAGTATGACATCTCCCAATTTCACTTCCAAATTATATTCCTCTTTACTCTAGCTAAACTTGCAATGCATACACCGTGCCTTAATCTGACTTAAGTATAAATCTTTTGTTTTCAAAATTGTCTCTAAAGCTCAAGTTTAAAGTAACCACTTCTCTTGATTCATCATTCAAAACTCTATCACCTGTATTACAATAATAATAGTGACCTACTCATACTGATGGGTTCTTTCTATAAGGAATACCACTCTTCTATCTTTGCCTTACTTTAAAGATCTGTATGCACTCGGTTGATTGAAGTGTGAAATGTAATCATGTTCTTAACAGTCTAATTCTATATTAATTTCTGTTTGATTATCCATAATTTATAATTATTAGATGGTAATAATTATTTTGTTAGGTTCTGGTTGACATGGTCTGAGTGCCTGATTGAGCATTTGAAGCTACTGGTTAAGAAACAAAAGGCACGGGACAAGATGTTGCTACATACCATCCAGGACTTTACCTAACTTCAGCTTAGGTAGTTTCAACTGATGTTTCTAGACTTATTGATTTCATATTAAACTGTCAGTTTGTCACATGTTAGTTAATGGAATATTATGAATGTTAGTTGAGTACTTATTCAAAGAAACTTGCCAAATTTATTGGAAAGCATCTCAAATCAGAACGGGCTACATCTCTAAGTTTATAAATACACTGCATAATCGGTATAATATTTAGAAAAGATGTCTCTATCTTTTATAATCATTTTAGTTTGTGCCAAATACTTCCTACAATCACGTAGAGTACCTCCTCTCGAATGGGATATTCTTGCATCATCCATGTTATTTAATTATAATTGAATAAATCTAGGAGAATTTTTTTATGATATCTATATTTTTTATAATATGATTTTTTTATTGGTTTAAAATTAAAATTTTATATGTACAAATTTATCAAATAATAATAAGTTGAAAAGGATAATTCAGAAATTGGATTTTGTCGAAGGGTGAATGCAAAATATTTAGCTATCTCATGTTTGTGATAAAAAAGAAACAAGTATGAACTATCATACCTCTCATATAGTTCTCTCTTATATGAAAAAAAAAAAAGGTTACAAAACAATTCTCCATTTATATATTGTGTCTATAAATCTTCTCAAAGTTGAAAATAGATATTTATATATCTTGATATAGAAAATCAACATTTGTTAAACCATAATTTTTTATTTTATTCTCTTGAAAACATTTGATATGGAAAATAATAATTTATTTTCTTGAAAACATAATTTTTTATTTATTTTGTTAAAGCAACTACAAGAGCTATGAGACATCGAAGATGAATGTTGCGAAAAAATAATTAATTCGACATTATAACTAAATAATTCAGAAATGGTGTGGATAGTTTTATTCAAGTAACGATAAAAGACCTAAAATTTGTTGATGGCACAGGGCGTATTCCTTGCCCATGTGGAAAAATGTGGGAATCGTTATTGGAATGTATCATTTGATGTGAAAAAACATTTGTATCATTGTGGATTTGTGGATAGTTACACAAATTGGATTCTTCACGGTGAGGAAATATGGATCGATGATTATCAACTTCTGTCTTCCAAAAACACAATGAGATAATAGAAGTCCATATGTTGATATGGTTATGGATGTTACTTATGTTATATTAAATCTAGAAGTAGAAGAGATGCAAGAGGACTCAAATCCATCAGCTAAGAAGTTTTTTAACTTATTAAAGAATGTTGATGAACCTTTATGGGATGATTGTAAGAAGCATACAAAGTTATGAGCCGTGACACAACTCTTAAACCTGAAGTCAGAGTTTAACTTGTGTTAATTGTTATAATAAAAAAACATGCTTCTAGATTTAGAAAGGTTGCCTAAAAATTTGTATAGATCAAAGTGAATGATTAACGAGTTCAGATTAGGATATGAAAATATAGATGCATGTCCTAATCATTGCATGCTATATTACAAAGAAAATAGTGACAAAAATGCTTGCTTGGTGTGTAAAGAACCACGATTTAAACTAAAGACATCTTCAAAAAATAAGGATGTGTCTTGCTCAGTGTTGAAAGGTTTGAAATCTGACATGCATAACTCGATATTCTGACTCTTTAACTAAGGCAAGAAAAAAGGCAAAAGAAAAAGCAAATTCAAATAATATTCAAGACTTAAAGGATCTTGGATCAAGAAGTATAAGGATTGAGATATGGAATGAATTAGTAGACATATGGATAACAAAAGAATGAAAAAAAGAAATTTATTGTAGGTAAGGTCAATAAGGCTACCAAGCCTGATGCCATGATGCACACAGGAGGGTCAAGAAACTTTGGACAACACTTGAAAAAAAATAGTATTCATACTTTACACATTTAATACATTTGATCATATAATTGTTAATCAATATTACTTACTAGTTATAAATTGAATATTAGGTTTGATATTGGTATGAGATAGTCTTTATGTTGTGTTTCTTAAATTGTATATTGTCTCACATGTAGAAGAGCATAAACATCATATTTCTTATGGTGAACTATATAACAAGGCTCATAAAAAGAAATATGGTGAATCTGTCTAATAAAACAAAAATTTTCATTATAAGTGTGTATATTTTATAAATATTAAACTTTATTTATTTATAATATTGCTAAAATATTGATTTGATGTAAGAATGATATGAAAATGCTATGACTGAAAAATATGGGGAAGATACATCAAAACATCCTATAGTTGATTATAATACTTGTATAAAGATTGTTGGTAAAAATAAAAAATGTAGAATTTATGATATCGGTCAGAGTTTGGATCTTGGTATTTCACATGTTTCATCTTCATTAGTTGAAGGTCATTCTTCCCAAAATTCTGTCACACCTAATAAATCATTACCTTAGCTACATAGATATCTA